ATTAAATACATCTATCAGCCAAGGCTCCATGAGTTCAAAACCCCAACTGTGGGGCTTGAACCCACAAACTTCTGACTCAGAGGCCAGTACGCCACCAACTGAGCCAGGCTGACACTTAATCGCAACAGCATTCATTAGAAACCCTGTTTGATAGTTTCCTCTCTACATCCCAAGCCCTACTGGCACAGGCCAGGAATCAAACGTAGGACCGTCCAGGTCGGTATGGCTCAGTGGCCAGTGAGTCTTTGTACATAGCAAGAGAATAGGTGGGAGTTTTACTGTTTTTTTTCAGTAGACTGACGAGATTGACAAACCTTATCTGGCTTGATATCTAGTGGAGGCAACACTTTCACCTAAGCGGTTCTATCTGAGGCTAGCACTGTTTATATGGCAGCTTGGTTTGGGTGTTCTATCACATCAGAGCTCTTAGATTCAGTGTGAGTGCTGACTGATGTCTGCTTATGAGTTGTAATGTGAGTGGATTCACTTAATCATCATCAAGTCTGTAGACTTTGGGTGAAGGGTTACATAATAATAATCCTTGCATTTGATATAGCGCTTTATCACGTTGTTGAGACGTCTCAAAGCACTTCACAGAATATACAGTAAAGGGAAGTCATTGTATATTTTGTGGACGAAATGCAGCCACCAATTGTGCACAGCAGCGACCCACAAACAGTCGTGGATTGACTGACCCAATTAATATTATTTGTTCATTTGTTTATTTGTTTATTGAAGGGAAAGCAATCCGCCAATCAACTGGGTTCGTACATACACTGAAGGAGATGAAGAGGGAATGAGTGAAAATTGGCAACTGTGAGATAATGTGGAGTCCTGTAGCTCAGTGGTTAGAGCACTCACTTTGCAAGCGAAGAGACCTGCGTCAAGTTACAGGCAGGGCGAAACCTTGGGCAAGTATCCTTACTCCACATGCCTAATAATCCCTCCAAAACAAAAAAAACATTAATAAAATTGGTCATTTTCAATCTACAACTGTTTGTGGGACATTGTTGTGCGCAATTGGCTGCCGCGTTCGCCCACAAATATACAGTCAATTCACTTTACCGTGTGTTCTGTGAAGCACTTTGGAATGTCCTCCCGACGTGAAAAGCGCTATATCAAATGCAAAGATTATTATTATTATTAACTTTGGATTGCAACATAGTGAGAATACCAAGAAGAGAAGACAACTCAGAGGAGTGGAGACCTAATAGCATTGATAATTTTTTAAAAATGTATTGTTGAGCGAGGTCAGGCTGCTCACCCCCATTACCCCAATTAGACCCAAACGTCCCACTTTAGGAATGAGGGTTGTCCCTGCAGACAAGCCCCTCCCCCTCAAACTCTCTCAGCCCTAAATTGTCAAAGGGCAATGTGACCTGAACCCTGTCTTCACGACCCCCACCGAGCAGGTCAGGCGACAGGATGGCCTCGCTGACAGGACAAGCCCGGCCTGAGTCTAGTCACCAGGGGCTCCAGTGATTCCAGTGTCTCCCCCTCCTCTGTGTGAGGGCAGATCTCGGGGGGGGGGCAGAGCAGATCTCACTCCTCAGGTGGGAAGTGCTGCAATACTGACCCCAACCAGCAGAGGGCGGAGCTGTAGCCAAGAGGAGCTCAATGCTCCCCATGTCCAGGTCTGGGTGAGGTTTGGGTCCTGGTGACAACACAAGACAATCTCAACAGGAGATGAAGGTTCCCAGCATCGCTTTAGCTCAACGAGTAACTGATGGGAACAGAAACTACACTTGATCTTAGACAAAAGGCCGAGCAGAAGCGTTGATAAATATAGACAAATGCAACACGTTATAATAGTGTGTCCAATTTTCAAAAACTTTTACTAATGTCCTCATTCAATCTGCTTCACTTTGCATTCCCCCAATATGAATAGATTGTTTTAATTTAATGCCATAAAAACAGAAATATAAATAAAATAGGTGAGTGAACAGTTAATAATTGATGAGCCACATTTTTTACTTTCACTTGGTGGCTTTGCAGCGTGCTAAATCTTTGATGATCGAGTTGTATTCTTGAATAAATTAAGCTCTTAATAAACCTATGCTATGCTCACGATTTCTTAAATAATGGAAGGGATAGGTCAAGCAACATGATTCCTCAGAGAATCCGATATATAGTTATTGAAATGTGCACATTCTGTATCTTGTAATAATATCTAACAACATTTCATGATGATTTCAAACAGCAATACTGAATAGCATTATAATATATTCACCTACAAAACACACAGTCATTGCACTTTAGCGTAAATCATGTGAAGCGCTTTGAGACATCCTCCCATTGTGAAAGGCGCTATATCAAATGCAAGGGTTATGATTATTAATATTATCTTTGGTTGTGAGATACAAGCAGATTTCCCTTATAAAATGGTAATCATCAAAAAGCAGTCAGTTAAATATAATTGAACACAACTGTTTCATCACAAATACATATAGAATCAGTCATTGCAGGACAAAACCATTATGATAAATAATCCTTGCATTTGATATAGCGCCTTATCACGTCTTTGAGAAGCATCTCAAAGCGCTTCATGAAATATATTGTAAAATGTATTGATTGTGTATTTCTGATGAAAATCAGCCCACTGTATCGGTGCTGAAGCTATCTAGATGAATTCCATTTCCCTGCTCTTTTCTCCATACCTTTTTATGTCCGCAGAATAATAGACCTTGAAGGATATTCAGAACCAGTTTAAGTGGAAGTTCAAGTGATTAGAGCTGACAGAATGAAAACTGTGGTGGAAACCAGACTTGCTGAAGAAATAAGAACAGGGAGATTTTGCTAATCACTGAAGAATGATCGCAGTCTAATTTTGACTTTGCAACCAAATTTGAAATGCTTTTCTCTGGGGACCAATCCACTGGATTATAATGAATTTAAAATAAAACAATGCATTTACCCACTTATAATTTACCTGTTTTATATCACTTCCTTGTAAACAGAGTGAGCTCGACAATGGAAATGTACATTGTTATTAATATTAATTATCAATAAGTATCCCTTACATTTGGTATAATGCATTTCAAATTGGGAGGATGTGTTAAAGCGCTTCACAAGATATACTGTAAAGTGTAGTGCTTTGTAGGTGAACGTGGCAGCCAATTTTATACCTGAAATTGGGATCTGATCCAGACTGAAAAACAACCCCTTTTATTACAGGCTTTAGTATTATTTAACTTGCCATCTCTGGCAATGATCTGGCCCTACTCAGAACATTCTGGTCAAATATCATATGAGGACATTCTCTTCTTCCACAGCTAGAACAACAACAACAAAATTACATTTGTAAAGCGCCTTTCATGTCGGGAGGACATCCCAAGGTGCTGGGCAGACAGTGTTTCAGACCTGAGCTGGGGGTCAGGAATGGGGAGGGTGAAGGGCGGCGGGGGGGGGGGGGAAGCAGGGTTATCAAAAGCGCAGTTGAAGAGGAGGGTCTTGAGATGGATTAAAGGAAGCAAGGAAGAGGGCAAGGCTGAGGGGCTGCGGGAGTTCCAGGAAGTAGGAGCAGAGTAGCAGAAGGCACAACGTCCAATGTAGGGGCGAGCGAGGCAGGAACATGAAGCAGGCCGGAGCCTGCTGAGCGGAGGGAGCAGGCAGAATGGTAGGGGGTTAGGAGGTCGCAGAGGGGAGGGGAGCAAGACCATGGAGGGCTTTCAAGGGTGAGGACCAGCATCTTGGCACCGATGTGGGGATAGAAGACAGTTGAGAGTCAAACAAGACGCCAAGGTTCCGGACTGGCTTAGTAAGGTGGAGTGCGCATCCGTGGATGGTGATGCTGTCAGAGACTGAGGTGTCGAGGCACTGACAGGAGCCAATCAGGAGGGCCTTGGTCTTGCTGACGTTCAACTCTCATCCAGGACTTGATGTCTGACAGGTATTTTGTCAGCACAGCAGTGGTCCTGGACTCAAGGGAGGAAGCAGAGAGGTACAGTTGGATGTCATCCGCATACATGTTGAAGTTGAACCGGTTGTTACCTACTGCTAGGAAAACAGAGGTGTGTGGAGTAAGGAAACTTGCCCAGTATTTCGCCCTGCCAGGAATCAAACACAGGTCTCTCGCTTGTGATGCAAGTGCTCTAACCACTGACCTACAGGACTCCATTTATTATGTGAGGGGGCCTATATAAATTCAAGGTGGTGGTGTTGTCTGGGGATCCAAACTCAACTGATTTTGCAATATCTGTTTGTGGGGACGCTGCTGGGCGCAATTGGCTGCCGCGTTTCTCCCACAAAATATACAGTCAATTCACTTTACAGCATAAACAAAACGCAAAATACTGCAGATGCTGGAAATCTGAAACAAAAACCGAAGTCGCTGGGAACGCTCAGCAAGTCAGGCAGCAATTGGAATATCTACTGTGGAATGTAATCAGACAGGGGTTAAAGTCACGTTTATTATAGTTATCTGATATCTTAGTACTGTTGTTGCGTGACTGTTATCTCCAGGGTTGTGGAGCAATGATAATAATATTAATGATGTCTAAAGTGAAGTTTACATTTTATGGAAGTTGCTCATCAATTGCTGACCAATGTTCTGTCTGTTTTCTTTCCTTTTGCTCTTCTGCTCAACATTCCTCACTTAAGTGACCAATTTTTGGCAGAAAGAGTGAGCTTCACTTCTCAGCAAGGTTACAGAGCCACTTCCTAGTCACTGGGTAAGTTCTCATAAAGGAAACACGAATCACATATTTATACAGCCACTGTAATCACTCAAGAGTGAGAAATCAATGTTTCTAAGGTTACTAATCCTCATGATTAGGAATCATGAGATATAGTACATAGGTAGTTTGGGACCCATGTGCATGAGACCACCAGGAAGGTGGAAGGCGAACTAGATGGACCTTGGTCTTTTTTTCACCTAGCATTTCTTATGTTCTTATGAATGAGACTTGTTCCAGAGTCATTGGCATATGGTGATTGGTCAACAGAAATGAAAACACTTAAAAGGATACTTGAGATTTCGATGGCATTAAAATGAGCCACACTGCATTAAAAAATCATTTTATTTATAAAGTATCATAATTGTAGCATTAGACATATAACTATCGAAAGGGCCTTTTCGCATTCTTATCAATAGAATGAACACAAAAAAAGTCATTAAGAGTAAATATATTGCACATGTCAGAGAGAAGTTACATTTTAGTCAAGGAAGACAAATATTTCAGTGACTCTATAATAACCTAATAGTACATCAAAGGAAAATAACAGACAAGAGCATATTTCAGTACCTCATGTACAAGTCAAAATTCAATAGCCACAACTCAATTTCAGAAACAATTGCTTCCAATACAACTCCAGAAGCTGAAAGTATAACTATTATCAGCACCGGGTCTGAGAATTTAGATGGAATAATTGAAGACAAGATTCTCTAAAGTTCAAGTTTCCAGTTTGTCATCAGAGCATAGTTTAACAGCAAAAATTGATATTTGACTATTTTTCCCACAAAAAATGCCAACCCCATATGTAATTAGCATCTTACTAGGAAAAGTGTGCCCATAAATGAGGTTGTAGCCTCCTTGGTGTTAAGGGGGAGGGATCCTTAAGCACCACCATCAAATTATTGCAATTACAATTACATGTAAAGTTGTTCAGTTAGCATCACAAAGTGGCTGAGACATGCTGAATACAAACTGGTGATGTGTATATAACCAGCAATAGAGGTAACAAAACAAACAGGAACAGACCAAGTATAGCTTCTTACAGGCATTAGTTTCTTGAAGTTTCCAGTGCTGCTGAACTTCTATTATTCTGCTATTGTTCTGGAGTTCCCAGACGCTGCTTCAGTATCAAATACTGAAATAAAGTAAAACAACCAAAGCGAATGAGTAGAATTACATACTAAACAACAAATGACATTTGTAATTTGCCACAATGCTCCCACAAAATACAGTCCCTACACTTTACAGTGTATCCTGTGAAACGCATTGAGAAGACTCGATGACGTGAAAAGGCGCCGTATCAAATGTAAGATTATTTGTATAATGCCTTTCATCTTGGGAGGATGTTCCAAGGATGTTGTAATACTCCATGTAACACCACACAGTTTCTTTATACTATATAAATGAAACATCTAACTCAGTTTCAAAGAGCGATGAAGATTATCCACAATTCAAATTTCTTTCCATCTTCAATATTTTTAAACTTTCTGCTTCAAGATGCTCTTATGAATAAAATCTATATTGCTAACCTGAAGAGCAGCTCTAGCATTTGGACACAAGAAGTGTGATATCATTTATTCAAGTACGTGCTCTCAGTTTCCAGTCAATTTCAATCCAGTTGAACATAGAATTAAGGACAACAATAACAACATTACATTTGTATAGCGCCTTTCATGTCGGGAGGACGTCCCAAGGTGCTGGACAGACAGAGTAGATTAAATATTAATTTGCTTTAAAAGATAATAAGTAAGAAACTGCAAACATAAGAACATAAGAATTTGCCGGGCGAAGAAGATCAAGGTCCATCTAGTTTGCCTTCCACCATCCAGGCAGTTGCTTGACATGTCGTGTTTCGAACTATATTTTGTATCTCCAGATATTATTTTCTAACAGAAACACAATGTGTGTTAAACATTACATAATAATCACCAGTAAAATTTGAATTAAAAAAAACTTACGTTTTTACGACTTGCAATAGCTTGTTGCAACCACAGGAGCTCCATGGCAAGGTTGCTTCTGTATTTCTGTAACCCTTCTTGACTCGTTATCATCTCTTTCTTTTGCAATTTGCTCAAAGACCCTGTAAATTGAAAACCACTGCTCCTGAGTGTGCAGTTTTCTCACTAGTTCTAAAGCCAATCAAAGATCGTAGAATATTTAACATTACAAAGGGAAATCAAACAGTGGTTGCAATTATCAATTGTAGTTGTTGATAATAATAATCCTTACACTTGATATAGCGCTTTTCACGTCTTCTAGATATCTCAAAGCGCTTCACAGAATATATTGTAGTGAATTGACTGTATATTTGTGGGCGAAACATGGCAGCCAATTGCGCACAGCAGCGTCCCACAAGCAGTGTAGATTGAAGTGACCAATTTTATTATTTTTTTTTCTTGAGGGATTATTATCAGGTGTGTGAAGTAAGGAAAGTTTCCCAAGGTTTCACCCTTCCGGGAATCAAACCCAGATCTCACTTGTAAGGCGAGTGCTCTAACCACTGAGGTACAGGACTCCTCAACTCTGGTTGATAATCATTTGTCATTAATTTGAGGTTTTAGTAAATTGCTTGGAGACGTCTCGATGACATGATAAAGCACTATATGAAATGCAAGTATTATTATTAAAAAGTATGCCTACCTCATTAAAAACAGCAGTAAATTAACTGCAGCAATTCTGTTAACCTTTACGTCACATTTTTTGATTCATTATACAACAATAACTTGCACTTATATAGCACCCTCCACGCAGGGTAGCATTGCAGAGCACTTGACAGTGCGGAGTCTGACTCCAAGTCGGGGAGATGGGGTGTCTCTGAATCATTTTTTTCCCCCTTCCTCACGTATCGAAAATCCTACCTGCACTGATGACATTGGATGCATCCTCCATTCCTGTACTGTTCCATGCTGATGAATTTAAATCAGCAAAGTTCATTGTCTTATCAGAATCCTTTCCTTCAGAAGCACCTACAGTGGAACTGTGCAGTTTCTCTTTGCCTGTCGGCGTTTGCACACATTGGCCAGGAACTTCAATTAAATTTCCAGATCTATTTTGGACTTCCAGTTGATCTGGCAATGGAGGGATATTTCCTTGGGTACAGTTTGTCCGAATGTCACCATGGTCTATTTCTGGTTCGGAAACTTGTAACCCTGGGCAAGGTTTATTTGATGCATTTTCAGAACAAAGTGCTTCAGGTGTTTCCCCGTGAATAACACCCAGTCCATTTTTTATGTTTGAGCTCTATTGACAAAAGAGAGAAGAAAACCTTTATTAGAAATATCAGATTTCTTTTGGAGTTAAAGTTGTGAATCAGAAAAATAACTGGCCCATTTCTATAATTTATAGCTTAAAAAATACACAAAAATTGTTGCTTCTTAAAGCGACGATCCCAACATTAGGTGCCAGCAGCACACACTATGTTAAACGGAAAGGAAAAATTTTGATAACAAAAACACTAGATTACTATTGCTGGCACTCACTCAACATGTTAATATTGGTTTGTTGCACTACAATACCAACAGTTTAGAGACTTTGGGTCAAGTCAGTTTCAGTTTCTTCCAACTTTACAGTTGCATTGAGTTACATTATCCAATACTCATCAACTTGTTCAAATCGTCAGTGATTTTTATTTCACATCACACAGTTTTACGAATCCAGTTTAATATACTTCATTTACAGTCTTAATAATTGTGGGTATCAAAGTAAACAAAAAAATGACTGCAGAGTTGCTGAGTCTATACACTTTAAAGGCTAACAGGTGAATAATTGTTCTTGTTGGGAAAATAACCCTCATCCACATAGATAGATTTTTATTATTATAGGCATATTCATTCCTAACGGTCACTTACACAAATGATTAAGTTTTTTATAATTATCAAAATGGAGATGGGAGCTGACATGATTATAGACTCATGTTGAAAAACATTTTTGAAGTTATAATTTTAGCAAGCAGAATTTAAAAACATACAAATCATCTAAATGAAATAATGCTTGAACTTGATACACAAATATAAAATATACAAAATCAAAAAAAAGCAAGAAAGCAAACTGCGAAGAATTGAAAATGGAGGGACAAATGTTTAGATGGAACTTGAAAGTTGGAGAGTTTACAGCATGACACTGAAACTTACCTGCTTCTGAAATCTTGGTCTTGGAAACAATATCCCTTCCCATGTGAGCAGATCCAGGTTATCCTGAACCTCTTTCACAACATTTTCATAGTCTTGACATAAACTTCGGATCTTTTTCCTGACCAAGTAACCTCTAACTTGAGCCTGCAAAAACAAATATGACACTACACTGGGAGCAGAAGGCCTGACGGAACTCATAATGATTAATTTTTCTTTACGAAAAGAGGGAAAAACTCCTTAGCTTTTTTCCTAGTCAAAACTTGTGACATTCTCACACATGGGTATTAGATGATGTGGGAACAACATTGTGTTCGGCAGAAACCCATCACCGTAGTTTCATATTTTTAAACCACTCATTAGACAAGTTTGTCCAGTTTGAGTTGTAAAATGTGACGGGTGGGTCGTTAATCCGAGGACACTGATTTAAAATAGTTGTTAAAAGAAACAGAGAAGAAATGTTTTCACAGCGAGTTGTTGGGATCTGAAATGCGTTGCTTGACAGGGTCGGGGCAGCCGATTCCATAACAACTTCTAAGAGAGAAGTTGATAATTATTTGGGGAGGACAAGTTAGCAGAGCTATGGGGAGAGAGTGGGGGAGTGGGGTTGGTCAGGGCTATGGGGGGGAGAGTGGGGGAGTGGGGTTGGTCAGGGCAATGGGGGGGAGAGTGGGGGAGTGGGGTTGGTCAGGGCAATGGGGGGGAGAGTGGGGGAGTGGGGTTGGTCAGGGCTATGGGGGGGAGAGTGGGGGAGTGGGGTTGGTCAGGGCTATGGGGGGGGAGAGCGGGGGAGTGGGGTTGGTCAGGGCTATGGGGGGGAGAGTGGGGGAGTGGGGTTGGTCAGGGCTATGGGGGGGAGAGTGGGGGAGTGGGGTTGGTCAGGGCTATGGGGGGAGAGTGGGGGAGTGGGGTTGGTCGGGGGAGAGTGGGGGAGTGGGGTTGGTCAGGGCTATGGGGGGGAGAGTGGGGGAGTGGGGTTGGTCGGGGGAGAGCGGGGGAGTGGGGTTGGTCAGGACTGTGGGGGGAGAGTGGGGGAGTGGGGTTGGTCGGGGGAGAGTGGGGGAGTGGGGTTGGTCAGGGCTATGGGGGGAGAGTGGGGGAGTGGGGTTGGTCAGGGCTATGGGGGGGAGAGTGGGGGAGTGGGGTTGGTCAGGGCTATGGGGGGGGAGAGTGGGGGAGTGGGGTTGGTCAGGGCTATGGGGGGGAGAGTGGGGGAGTGGGGTTGGTCAGGGCTATGGGGGGGAGAGTGGGGGAGGCGGTGGAGTGTTGACGGGGCTGTGGGGCATCAGTAACTGCCCCCACATTATTATTGTTCAATCCCGACCAGTCTGCCAGTGATGTCTGGTTGCCATGGTGCCCGCGCTCTCCAAACTGATGAGTTTGGTAACTGACCATCAGGATGTGAGGCCGCGATCCGCCGCTGACGGAGCGGTAAGTACCTGCACCAGCGCCACCCGCCGGAGCTGCCGCTCAGCTTCCGCCATCTTGTACCGCCTTCCCGCCCAGTCAAGTTACGTCACAGCTGCGCCGACCAATCACCGCCTTCCCGCCCAGAGTGACGGCTGTCCAATGGAAACGCCCCACTTCTGCCCCGCCCACAGCGTGCGTCAAGGAGTGATTGACAACCGGCTCAGCCAATCGTGCGGCAAAATCGTGACCCATCCCCTCGTTCCCCGGCACATGGGGCTTCTGCGCCTGCGCGCGCTCGCGCAGCCATCGGTAAACATGGGTGACAGAGACTATAACCTGACGGCGGAGCAGCGCGCGACCAAAGCCAAGTACCCGCCCGTCAACAAGAAGTACGAGTGTAGGTCAAACTCTGGCCTCCCGGGGTCTCTGTGTGGCTTGTGGGCTCCGTGGGGGGGTCGGGGCCCGGGGGGGGGGGTCGGGGCCCGGGGGGGGGCCCGGGGGGGGGTCCGGGGGGGGTCGGGGCCCGGGGGGGGGTCGGGGCCCGGGGGCCCGGGGCCGGGGGGGTGATCAGGGCCGGGGGGGGGGCCGGGGCCGGGGGGGGGGTGATCAGGGCCGGGGGGGGGTTTGCTGTGTCGGAGACTCTGACCTTCGGATCAGAGCATAAACCGAGATCCCATCTGTGGCTGTTCAGGTAGACGTTAAAGATCCCATTGGTGGTTGGGGTTTGGGGACTTGGGTGTTGGGGTTGGGGGGGGTTGGGGTGGGGTGTGTTGGGGTTAGGGGGGTTTGGGTTGGGGGGGTTGGGATTAAGGGTGTTGGGGTTTGTGGGGGGTGGGTTTGGGGTTAGGGGGGCTTGAGTTTGGGTCTCTCCCACTTTTCTGGCTGACACCCCCCCAGATAAATATTGGGCCCTCACTCCAGGAGATGGTTGTGCGACACAGATTGGCCGCCACATTTTGGCCACAAAATACAGAGTCACTCCGCTTTACAGTATGTCCTGGAATTGTGGAGTCCTGTAGCTCAGTGGTTAGAGGCCTCACAAGTGAGCGGACCTGGGTTTGATTCCTTACTCCACACATTTGTTAATCAATTGGTGATAATAATAATTCCTTCAAAATAAAATTGGTCACTCAATCCACGACATTTCGCCCACAAAATATACAGTCAAATCACTTTACAGTATATTCTGTGAAGCCCTTTGAGTCATCTCAAAGACTCGATAAGACTCTATATCAAATGCAAGGATTAGATTATTCTGTGAATCGCTTTGAGACATCTGGACGATGTGATAAGGTACTATATCAAATGCAAGGATTATTATAACAGTTATTCATTAATAGAATTAGGTTAGAAGATCAGCCATGATCTTATCAAATGGCGGGGCACAGGCTTGAGTGGCCGAATGGCCTACTCCTGCTCCTACATTTTATGGTCTTATAGAGTTGCATCAAATGTAAGTATTATTATAACATTAAAAGAACCACGTTTTTGTTTGGTTTGAATATGATGTTGAGAAGTTAAACAGAATTAATTCCAGAAGACAGCTAACTTTTTTATTAATTATTTCCTATTGATTCTAAATTGACACAAGGTTTATAAACGTACGTGACATAAATATGGTGACAGGTAGTAGAAATATACATATAATAAAAATATAACATTATTAGAAGTCAAATATTGGGAAATGTTTTACTGTAGAATAACTAACATGACTCAATAGTCATATATTTAAATAAATTCTTTATATGTTCAGATTTACAACCTCTAAACTGGGATTTAGATGCTCAGATTAAATTAATATCATCATTTACCCATAGCAGGTGGTCACTGCCCCGTTACCAACTCGCTTCTTCCCTGCTTTTTATATGTTGCCTTCAGAATTATTGTATTTGCAATTCAAAAACATTCAGATCATAACTAAAATATTACTTTATACTGTGCTATATTCATTCATTGTCTAACTTTCATATGGTGTAATTACAAATGTTGATGAGACAGTGTATGCTGAACCAGTGTTGATCTTTCTTCCGCTCCAGATTTAGACCACACTGCAGATGTACAGTAAGTTTATTTTTGTATTTCCGGTCCATTTTCTGCATTGCAGACTTCCTATCGAGTTGGATTAAAGAAAAAATGTGTAGTCATTAGTATCTGATTTGAAGGTTGAGGCTGCATTCATTCTCACTGCTTGGATTATTTTATGAACCAATTGATGATATGATGAAGTTGCATCACATTGCTGATGCAATACCTGCTGTGTTCTTACAACACATTAGAAAAATCACTTGCATTTATTGCATTTGAAACTGATCTATTATATATATATTTTAACACTACAGCACCTCACCAACAGTCTTTTGATAAATATAATTTTGTCCTCATGATAACACTACTCTTCACATGAAAGTTATGATTTGGTGATTTTACTCAACATTCTTAACCTACAAAGACACAGGTAGTGTTACAGTGAACAACACCGAGAGGGGTGGGGAGGGGGGCGAATCGATCAAAGAGGGAAGTCTTCAGGTGTGATTTGAAGATGATAATAATAATAATAATCCTTGCATTTGATGTCTTCCAGACATCTCAAAGTGCATCACAGAATATACTGTAAATTTGTGGGCAATTGTGGGCAATTGCGCACAGCAGTTGGCCAGAAAGGGGGCAAAAATCATTACAAAATATGTATATTTTTGATTTTGTGGATTACTCCTTATTTTGTTTGTTTAATTGTATCCTAAATTCAGTTTTAAAATAATTTGTGGCTAAGATTCCTTTATACAGTATTATGTTTCAATGCAATTATTAAGTCACTGGAAAAGTGGTATCTCTCTTAAGTTGAAAAATCTCTCATTCATACTATATCAGATATGCAAATTGATTAAGATTAGTATCGAAGAAACTTTAGTATTTACAAGCTTTGAAATGCTCTCTTGTGCAGGTTGCATTCATGGGGTGGCACGTTAGAAGAAGCATTTGAACAGGTTGCCATGTCTATGTTTGATTATATGACTGACATAGAAACTGTGCATCCTACAGACACACTTGAAGTAAAGGCTGAAGGTAACTAAGGTGATGTTGGTGTAAATTGAATTAATAAATTTGGGTACTGGAGATTTGTTGTGAATTTCTTCATAACTTTATTTCACTGCTCTTGGGAGATTGTATTTCAATATGAAACAGGAATTGTGTCAAAAACTGTCTGGCCAAGACACATGTTCATCCATTCTTCTGATGGAATTTCTTATTATACTGTGAAACTCCGATTTTACAATAAATGTATACAGTATCTACTTGTTTTCCTCAAGGTGGAACAGTTCTCTGACAAATGACATAAGTTGTAACCCTATCTAGCCACAATCTCCAGGTTTCATTATGGTTTCATAACTGTCATTCAGTGGTTCTGGGAAGTTTGTGGATTCCTGTCGCTCAGTGGTTAGAGCACTTGCCTCACAAGTGAGAGACGTGGGTTGGATTCCCGGCAGGGTGAAACGTTGGGCAAATTTCCTTACTCCACATGCCTGATAATAATCCCTCAAGAAAAAATAAAATAATAATTTGGTCACTTCAATCCACGACTGTTTGTGGGACGCTGCTGTGTGCAATTGGCTGCTGCGTTTCACCCACAAATATACAGTCAATTCACTTTACAGTACATTCAGTGAAGCGCATTGAGACGTCTAGAAGACGTGATAAGGCGCTATATCAAATGTAAGGATTGTTATTATTTACATAATCTGAGAAAGATGAATAGTTTGGTTATATCTGAACGCTTTGGGACGCTATCCTGAGTGAGTGGCGCTATATAAATGCAAGTTGTTGTTGAGTGAACTTGACTAATTGTTTTGTCTTTGTATACTGTGTTTGCTTTTAGGAGATGACATGATGTCTCTGCTCTTTCATTTTTTGAATGAATGGCTATATCGATTTAGTGCAGATATGTATTTTATTCCAAGGGTAAGTGAACCATTTGGAATTAATAACTTTAAAAACAATATTTGTGTATATAGTAGGCGTGATTATGAAAAGCTGAGCTGCTCCTGTGATGGATGTCAGAAAACAATTCAGCAGTACAGCTCTCAATTCTGCTCATTTGAAAAACAGCTGTTTTGCGTGCTGTTTTGTGCCAGACCATTGCATTTAAGTTAATTCTCTTCCCCCCCACTGCCCTCCAGATTGTCTGAGCAAATAATTTCCCTGTTGACCAGCTGATTTTGAGAATTAATGTGACCCAAGAAATGTGATACATTAACTTGCCTCTCTGTCATATGCCAATGGAGCTGCCAGAGAGAGGTACATGGTACTTTTTTCACAGGTTTGCCTAGGCACTGGGATTAGTAAACCTTCCTGCATGTGTATCCAGATAATTCAAATTTCACCCATAACTATGTTTTATTACATACCCCTACAAGTTAACATAACATTGGCAAACAATACTTGTATAGTGTATATTGTGACTACTGTATTCATCTATCTCACTGTACTGAGGGTTAAGGTTTCATCCTCTGTATTGTTGATATACTAACCTTCTTGCATTTCGTTTTCAGGAGGTGAAAGTAGTTAGTTTGGACAGAATCAATTATAAGATTCGATCTATTGGGTAAGCACACAATAACTGAACTGTAAATATGATGTATTTTTATGATTTAAAATATCTGATCATTGTTGCTTTTAAAATGAATGTTTGTGTAACACTATAGCTTTCCTGTAAATACTGGAACAAAGATTTTAAATGTTTTTTTGTATTAAACTGTCATAGTAATAATCTCTAACAGCTGTCGAGATTGAATCACTGGTTTACTTAATAAAATAATGGACTGTATTGAAGTTTATGATCACAGCGAATATGCATAATTAGTTCGTCATCTTGTAATTTGCCTGAAACATGACTTGATTTTGTTTACCAAGGTGGGGGGAAGAGTTTGATTTGGCCAAACATCCACAGGTAAGACAAGAACATCGATATGACTCACCTTTTTACTGTTGTGACATATCAATACCAAATAGCCTACTCCTGCTCCTATTTCTTATGTTCTTATGGTTTTATAATTTATGTTTAAACCACTGAAACATCACAATTGCAGTCATCTAATAATTTTGCTTTAATCTTGCAGGGCACTGAAGTGAAAGCCATCACCTACTCAGCAATGCAGATTCATGAAACTGAAACTGCTGAAATTTTTGTTATCATTGATATTTAACTCTTTGAAATTTTTTTTTCTGAATTCTACAACTATCAGTTATAAAATAAATTCAACGCAACTGTTAACAGCTAAAAATTTTGGTGTAGGACGTTTATCCTTTGATGGTGGGCAAGACCCAGTCAGTACCAGTATCAAGATAACTGGCTTTTACATCACCTCATTCTCCTTTTCATTCGATGAAATATTTCCATATATTTTTCAGAAGCCACCCAGCCGATAAATAAATAATACTTGCATTTGACATAGCGCTCTTCGCGACTTCTGGATGTCTATAAGTGCTTCACAGAATAGACTGTAAAGTGAATTGACTGTATATTTGTGAGAGAAACGCGGAAGCCAATTGTGCACAGCAGTGTCCCACAAGCAGCGATGGATTGAAGTGACCAATTTATTATTGTTTTTTTTTTGAGGGATTATTATCGCGTATGGAATAAGGAAACTGGAGTAAGGATAGATGATGGGAAACTGTCAAAATAAGTCCCTTGAAGTAGGAATCAGAGGTACTTTATTTGAAGCAGTGCTTTATTTCACATGTTTTTTTTCAGTTTAAAATCTCCCTTTCTGAAAATATATGCTTTTGCAGTTCATCCGCCTACAACATAGACTAGGAAATATAGTAACAGTTTGGCAGACCGGTTTACATGATGTCATGTAGGATTTATGTACCTTGTGGGAGGTTTCTATAGACAGGTAAGTTATTTTTGTTTCAGGTCTGCCCTTCATCTGACAAAATATAGATTATCCGAACACTGGAAAAACACAGCATGCACTGGACAAACTGGTAAGACTTGATAAGGCGCTACATCACAGATAAGGCACACAGAGCCTAATAATAATCCCTCCAAAACAAAAAACAATAATAAATTGGTCATTTACAAACCACGACTGTTTGTGGGACATTGCTGTGCGCAATTGGCTGCCGCGTTCGCCCACAGTTAATTCACTTTACAGTGTGTTCTGTGAAGCGCTTTGGGACGTCCTCCCGACGTGAAAAGCGCTATATCAAATGCAAGGATTATTATTATATCAAATGTAAAGATTATTTTTATTAAGCACCTAAGTGAATGCAAAAGGTGTTACCAGAGTATCTTATCAATTGTATAACTTACCAAAGTTTGTGGTAATGTTAAGAACTGATGCGTTTGTAATTGAACCTTTAAGATCATGTTAATATACTGAGGAAAATTAAAGTTTTAGTAATTCTATACAATAATGCCTCTGAAATCATGAGGTGTTTGGGGGTAAGAGAAGGAAATCGCAAGTACTATAATTTTTCAAGTAACATTGAGATGCATCAAATACTGTATATTTCTCAAAGAATTCTTATCACTTTGAAATTGTGAAAAGCAATTTCATACCTGGTGAGAATATATGTGTGAAAAGTTGCCATAAAGGTTCGACCTTCACTTTAATGTGTCTGGTAACTATCTTAAAATCTTGATGTACTATTTTAAGGTGTTTGTATTAAACTTTGATGAAATCATGTTTTATTGATTTGAGATTTACAATAAATTTGTTAAAATGCTCATGTATGACCAAGTCATTTACTAAAAGTAAACATTTTAAGACCAACGAGTCCTGTAGCTCTGGTCAGGCACTCGCCTCGCGAGCAGAGAGACATGGGTTCAATTCGCGGCAGGTCAGGGGCAAGTTTCCTTACTCCACCCTCCCCGCGCCTCGGTTTACCTGCAGTAAGTAGGAACCCGGTTTATTGGCAGATCACTTTTCTGGGGATGATAATCCTTCAAATAAACAAATGAATAAATAAGTAATTTGGTCACTCAATCCATGACTGTTTGTGGGACACTGCTGTGTTCGCCCACAAATACAGTCACTACACTTTACAGTATATTCTGTGAAGCGTTTTTAGAAAATGTGAAAAGCGTTATTATTAATGAGGAATGGCATTAAACCCTGACCAACAATCTCACTTCATAGCTACTTGTGGACATTGCTGTGCACAAACTCGCTGCAGTCTCTATACTTTATATATTGTTAAACGCTTTAAAACATTAAACGCATTGTATCAAAATGCAGGATTATTGCATCTCAACCAAGAGAGCGAGGGGAGAGCAAGTGAGGGGGGAGAGAGAGCGAGCGGGGGGAGAGAGCAAGTGAGGGGAGAGAGCGAGCGGGGGGAGAGAGCAAGTGAGGGGAGAGAGCGAGCGGGGGGAGAGAGCGAGCGATGGGGGAGAGAGCGAGCGATGGGGGAGAGAGTGAGCGATGGGGAAAGTGCGAGGGGAGAGTGAGTGAGCGGAGAGAGCTCCCCTCGCTCGCTCTCCCTCTCCCTCCTTTCGCGCTCTCTCCCCCCGCCCGCGCTCCCCCGCCCTCTCCCTCTCCCATCCCCTTCTCCCCTCTCCCCTCCCTCTCTCCCCTCCCCCTCTCCCCTCGCCCTCTCCGCAGCCACTATAGCCACTATATAAATATATTGTTATAATAACAGAATACGTTCGAAGCCAATATAAAAAAAACACAAGGTTCCACCGAGATTTGAACTCGGATCGCTGGATTCAGAGTCCAGAGTGCTAACCATTACACCATGGAACCGCCGTGAGGACAGCGAAGCTTTGCGCCGCTCATGTGATTCCACCGGAGATGATGAGACCGGAAGTTGTGGATGTGAAGGAAAGTTCAGGAAAGTTTCTCTTAACGCCCGAGAGCCGCCGCGGCCCCGAATGTCCTCAATCATTCCCCCCCCCCCCCCCCCCCGGGCCACCCCCCCCCGGGCCATCCCCCCCCGGGCCACCCCTCCCCCCCGGGCCACCCCTCCCCCCCCCGACCCCAAACCCCGGCCCGAGGCCGTAGCCCTCACTGACTCCGCGGCGCCGGGGCTGTGGGCGGGGCTCGGGGCTGTGGGCGGGGCTCGGGGCTGTGGGTTGGGCTCGGGGCGGGGCTCGCGGCTGTGGGCGGGGCTGTGGGCGGGGCTCGGGGCTGTGGGCGGGGCTCGGGGCTGTGGGCGGGGCTCGGGCTGTGGGTGGGGCTCGGGGCGGGGCTCGGGGCTGTGGGCGGGGCTCGGGGCTGTGGGCGGGGCTCGGGGCTGTGGGCGGGGAGTGCTGTTCGGGTGATGGCTGTTGGGGTATAACTGTAATGTAAAGCACTGACTGGAGGGCTCATCCCGCGCGGACCCCCAGTTCGGGCTTTGGCCTCAGAGGGGTAACAGGAGCCGAGTCCGGAATGTAGTAGTAATCTTTGTGTTTTCTTTTAATTTACAATTAGTTGTAGCAATTTAATAAAACCTTTTCTGCTTTGTTTAAATCACCGATTGGGCATTCGTTTGCTCCAAGAAATTGTTTATAATAATAATCGTTTGCATGTGGATTAGTTCCTTATCAGGTCGAGAGGATGCCCCAATGCGCTCCATAGGATGTGCTGTAAAGTGTAGTGACTGTGGGTGATGGCCAAACTTGGCAGCTAATGTGTGCAGAGCAATATCCCACAAACAGCCATGAGGTGAGTGAACCATTTTATTTGGGGGATTCTCGGCCGGAACACTGGGAGAGACACCTCTTTTTCGAAAAGTGCAGTGGGAGTGTTAACGCGACAGCGACAGTGCCGCGATTTAACATCTCATCTGAAGGACAACACCTCTGAAAGTGCAGCACTGCATTGGGAGCGTCAGCCTCGCCGGCCTACGTGACTCCGAGGTGAGACTGTTACCAACTGACATTACAATATAAGTGCTTAAATTATTCACTTTTTTAATTCACTTTTACTGGAAGTGAATTTTCTGTCAATTATTGCTTGAATAGTGGAAGAGTTTTGGGGGAGCGTAGTGTTTTCTTTCTCCCCTTCTCTTGAGTACATGATGCGGGCACTTAAGTTAGAAAATGGTTGACCTGGTACTAGGACATGCTGTAACATAAATAGTCACAAATAAGTGGTTACTGTCAGTAACTGTCAGGTACTGCTCAGTCAGTAGCACTCTCACCCCTAAGACAGCAGGTTATGGATTCAAGCCCAACGATGGAATATAGTCTGAGATGACACTCCTGTGCAGTGCTGGGGGGGTGCCCTGGGTGTTTACCGAGGTCCTGACTGCTTGTTCACGTGTACGTTAAAGATCCAGTGGCATTACTCTATTTAAAAGGAGAAGAGCGTTTCTCCTCGTGTTCTGGCCAACAATCACAGAAATAACATCAGTTTTTCACTCCATGGCTGTTTGTGGGACATTGCTGTGCAGTCGGCTGCCGCATTCACCCACAAAATGCACAGTTGCTGCATCTTACAATATATATCTGGTGAAGGCTTTGTGATATCCTGCCATGAAAAATGCCTATCAATGCAGGGATTGTTATTACTGCGAGATGCTATCCTGTGATAATGCTGCTCTGTAACACTGGGACTTTCAACAGTTTCAAAGAGGCATAAATTTAAGGAGGAAAATGTTTTGAGACTGCAGTGGATAGGTTGTGCAGAATACTTTGTGTTCAGTAACGTATGTGTTGCTGTTATGGCATTCTTCACATGTAAATTTTCCCACACGGATACAAACAGTTCCAGCCAATTCTCACCATCCTCAGGCTGATGGTAGTTCCTGA